GGAAAATATTTGTTCAATTAATTTTTTACATACTTCTGATAAACCTAATATTGGAAAATTAGTTGCCTTTTTGGGGAGATAATTAAAATCTGCAAAAGCGGGACATGTAATCAAAATGAAGAACTCAAAATTGTAAGACTCTGTGATTTATATTCACAGTAGATTATCTCTAGATAGTATTTGTTATATGTGAACAAAAATTATTGCTGTGTGTTTATGTGTGTGTGTGTGTGTGTGTGTGTGTGTGTGTGTGTCTGCGCCTCTTCCCTTTTCCCAGTGTATGCTGTCTAGATTTGACTCAGGCTTACTAGGCACATGTCTCAGACTCTCCACACTTTTTTGAGCCTTAATGTTGGGGGTGGAGGGCAGGGGGAGAGGAAAACCCCACTACCCTTCTTGGCATACTCGAGACCCTGGCTGGTGGGTCAGATCTGTCCCACACATGCCTGTGTCCCTGGATTAAGGCTCAGCTGTACCTTCTGATTGGCCCCTGTTGTGGTTACATTTATGATAGATTGGCTTTGCTCTCTAAATGTAGACTTGAGGATTATACACTTCATACCTTTCTGTCTCAACCACTTTTTGACAAAATGTATCTGTAAAATTTTAAGTTGCGCTTACGGTAAGTATCTGTTACTGGTTCTAGGGCACGAGTCACACTTGTGCTTGTGCTGATTGCTAAACTCTGTCCCTGTCCATTGGATATTTTAAAATAAGATGTAACTCTGGAAGAATATGATCAGAAGAAAGGACTGTGATCTACCTGAAATGGAGAAAAATAGGAATATAGAAAACATCTTGGGCTACTCGGTGATTTCTGACATTTGAAAGAAAGGAAACTGCAGGTAAAATTCTAGAAAACAAAAAAAGTAGAGCGAGCCTTCTTGCAGAGACGAGAGCTCAGCCTGTGCTCGGGTAACCTCAGTAGTGTTTCACTTCATCATACACACCGCAGTCAAGGTGTTAACCTTGCGCATTCTGCAATGACCTAACATACTAAAATGCTTCTCATCCTGTAGCCAGCAATCTTTATATGAATTCCTAAACCGTAACAAGAAGTTCAGACTGACATATATTTCTGCCTGTAATATATGTGCACCTTATACACTGCATGCAGACATTTCAGCAGGTCCTGTTACCCATCAATATGGTGATAGCTTTTTATTGGCATATAAAGCATATTGACATTCTGTGTATTAAATTTTAGTGGATGAAATATGTGTCAGTAACAAACATAAGCGCAAGTGTTTACTAGATGAATAAAATGCTCAGGTTGAAGTCCCTGGGTCTCACCACATAAGTAAATTTGCAGATCTGAATTATGAAGAATGTGCAGTTAGCACTCAGACCAATAACGTATTAGCCCTGGAACATACCTGTCATCATTTTGTGTACATTTAATTGGGTAGGTGTCCATTACTACAGGAATAATGCAATATTTTAAAATATATTCTTTTATTTTTAAACACAAATAGAACCAGTTTGTGAGCCCTGTGTAGAATGAAGTTCAGACTTAGTTAGCTGAATACTGATTTATACCCTGTGGAGTCAGGTGCTCTGAAATGTGCTGTGGAGATCACCCATGATAGGGACATTGGCAAGCTCTGTGTTGTGTTCTCAACTTTGGAGTTGTAGTCAGACCTCTTGCATCACACACAAATAAAGCAGAAGAGGACGCAAAGGGGAAGTCAGTTGTGTGCCTGTGGGCAGTTTTGACATTCATTCCTTTACTGAGGGATTTGGGTTATTTTTCTCTTCTTTGAATCTTCCTTTCTTTCTTTTCCAGAAATACTGGGAGACCGTGTTTGGTAGCCCAGGCACACTCTCACTGAGGGCATTGGTGATGGGACACACAGCCTGGGCCAGCAGCCCTCCCGTGAGCTTGGCTCCATTTCCGCGTCGTAGTCCAGCCTCCCCTATTCTTGGCTTACCCCGCTTTCCCGTCTTGCCTGCCTGTCTGATAGTGCAGCTGCTGGAAACAGCTGGTTGTGTGCTTGCACCATTTACCTGCTTATTTCCCATCATATGAATTCTTTTTTTTTAAGATGAGGGACCCAGAGCCTGGCAGAACTTTTGGGGTCATTTAGTTCCATATTTTACATAGTTTCATGTTATCTAATCATATGTCTAATGACCTCACAGACAAAAGTAACAAAGGTTTTCAATTTATGCAAAAAGAAAATTGAAGTTTCTAGTTAAAGTCTTTCAACCTAAAATTCTTCATATTTCAGAATCAGTTTAATTCATGGACTTAAAGAATTTCCTCTCCCCTTCTCTTCGTTATACAATTAGATAACAGTAAAATCCTTTTAAACATATATTGTGTATTTTCCGTAACTGAATGGTCAGTATATTCTGACCATTTTAAAATATTTTAAAATCTATAATCCCAGGTTCCTAAATTCTAAGAAAAAAAATCACTAAGTCTATGTACAGTTAAGGAACTTGTGCTATGACCTTTCACAAAGTTTAGTTGTGAAACTAACTTTTTCAGATTTATAATTGCAGTCAGTCTTTTTTTAGCTTAGCACACTATACTCTTTTTGGTAAGCAGGCGTATGTGTTTGCCTTCAAAAAGTACAGCAGTAGACACATCTATTACCCTTAGTTCATCAGCTCCCCTGGAAAACAAACAAACAAAACCCCCCACAAAACCATAAATCCATGACTCATTCTGGTGAAGTCAGCAACCTGAACCTAGCTCCCCAGTTGGTAACCAGGGGTGACCCCCCACCCCTCCGCAAGTGGTGCATCCCACCAATTTCACTGAGAAAACCTGTCTCTTCTTTTAGATAGAAGTTTAGACTTTTCACCCGTCAGAGGAAAATGAAAGCGTCACTAAGAGGTTTCACGTTTACTTTGCTGGCAGCTTCATGCCCGTGGCCAAGTGATTCCCCCCCCCCCAGTGAATTACTCCCCCAACGTCGGTGTGGCAGTGACTACTTAATAAAGCTGTTGATGAACACTCCTCCAGTGTGTGGTCCCTGTTCCCACAGTGTGTCACTGCTGCCGCCAAGTGACAGGTCTGAAATATCAGCAAACCCAGAACAATTAGAGCATCAGTTCCTCTTGCTAAATTAAGCACCCCAACCTCCTAGACCAGGATATTGTCTAAATCCCCCTGGGCTAGTCGTGAGTGTCTTTCTGAGCTCATGGCCTCCGAGCAAAGAATGGCCTGAGTGATTTAAAAAAGTGTTTTCTTTCTCTGAATGAATATATCTGACTTTAGAGTAGAGGGAGGTTTTTTGTTTTATTTTTAAAGGTGCCTAGTTAGTTTCCCACGATCTCATTGAAAATAATAGCATGCTACAAAAGGGAAGGTCTGTCTTCAAAGCCCACCCGTCGCACCCTAAACTTGGAACTCAGGGAACACAGGCGTACTTGGGGCTGTCTCAGAGACTGTTCTCTGTAGCAGCCTCGTTCTTGAACTGAACTAAGAGCTTTTCAATTGCTGTGACATTTTCAGCCAGGGAAGTAGTAGTAGCTGCTGCAGAGCAATGTTTCCAAGCAATTTCTTTATATGATCAGTAGAGCAATTCCTCTTCTAGAAAGCAACCGGAGCGATCAAGTTGAATCATTAAAGAGAGAAAGAGCGTGGGGAAAAGGGCTCATCTCATTAGCAGGTGCCCGCGCTGCAGCCTCCGCCTGGTGGCACACAATGTCACTGGCCCTTGAAGACAATGCCTGTGCTCGCTCTGCTGCGGCCCCTCCCTCCCCCATAGCTGTTGACAGGTCTAAACCTCCGGAGCAGCCCATTGTGGCCGCGGTAGGAGGCACCTGCAGAAAATGTGCCAAAACCAGGCAGGGAGCGAGAGCTTTTCAATAAGCTCCACAGCTGGAGAGGAGCCTGCAATACTAAACAACCAGGCTGGGCCCAGGCACGTGATGGGAAAAGGGGTCAAGCCAGACACCTCCTAGAGGCTTTCTGAGCACTGGGTGGTTCAATTTGATGACATCTTCTAGCTGGCTTTTCTCTATTTGCTTAATATGCTGAGGTATTTAGCTTAAAAGCACTAAACGCTCCATCGTGATGAGCGGTTTTCCCTTTCTCCATTTAGTGTTATTAAGGACGGTTGGCAGTATTTTCCCTCTTTCTCTGCCCCAAACGAAGGTTGTTTTCTTTTGCTTCCCTCTCACAGTTAGTTACAGGCGTTTCCCACCAGGCACAGCCGGCTTGATTTTACTTGTCTTTAATCCAGACCCACAAATAAAGCTCTCCGGATCGAGGGGCTGTCCTGCCTGGGTGAAGCATATGCCCGCTGCTCGAAGCACACATCCGGAAGCTCAGTCCCTGCATTGCAGCTCCGTAGACATTTATTGTGCGTCTGCTGTGTACTCATCACCAACTGTAGGACTTCTGGAAATCCGAGGTAGACAAGACCTATTTTAGTCCTGTGTTGTTTAGGGCCCAGCAAAACAGCTATGTAGCTGAAATAACCAGGAGGTGAAAGAATTTGTTTTGCTTACGTGCATTTGGCTTTGTCCTATTACAGCGATTTTGAGCAGAAGCAGAAGTGGAGAAAATGAGTAAGGAGGGACCTGGGATGGGCAGGGTGGCTTTGTCCAACATGCCTTGGGATTCAAGAGGACAGACTCAGTGCCATCTCTCCACGATAAATGACCCCCAAGAACCGAGTATGGCTTCTTGGTTTGGGCCGCCCTTCTCTGGCCCTCACTCCTCATTCTCAGGACACTTTCTAGTGTTCATGACATTTCTGTCTACTTCCTTCTTACTTAACGGAGTAAGGCATTATCTCTATTGAACACATCTGAGACTCAGGGCTAAGCACCCTGTCCAAGGCCATACAATGAGTAGGTGGCAAATGCAAAAGCTCCCAGGAACCCGGCTCCTGGCTGCCCTCCTGCCCCCTCCACTCTGCCCATCTTCTGCCCCAGGCTGCCTCATCAGACTGTCAACCAGAAAGAGTGTGCCATTGAAGAGCAATGCAGAAACAGGCGAAGTGACATGTTCACAGTGGAACTCTTTTCCCCTCCTACAGATGGAGAGTGTCGGCGTGTACGGATTCTGTGGGTGTAAAGCGAAGAACAAATTGAAGTGTGATTCAAAGTGGGAAGTAACTGCTGCAGGTAGGAAATCCACTACTTTGTGTAAGTATCTGACGAGCACCTGAAACCATGACTCGTTGAACTTCAGTCCTTTTTTTAGAGGGCCTGTGGGGGTACAGCTTGCTTGTTCAGAAGGCCAACAAGCGGGAAGACATGTGAAAGAGATACTATCTTAGAGACAGACATAAATGAGATGAGAGAGAGAGAGAGAGCTCCTATAGTCCCAGGAGTGGGACCTGGTGTCAGGGTAGCCTGTGGCATATACACACTCTCTCCCACTCTTATTTGGTGGTTCTGGGACAGTGTTTCTGTTTGGGCCCATATAAAGCGGAAAGAGATGGTCTCTCCGCAGTTCTGGGCTTGTTTATGCCTTAACATGTCTCTCCCCTCAGAGGACTGGTTCTCTTCCTCCTTCTTCCTTAGTGCCTGGCTCCAATTCTAGGAAAACAAGTGAACTATTCATGTAAAAGAGAAAGAGTAAGGAGGGGGGTGGGATGCCACCGACAAGCTCCATTGAAAGCCCGGGCTGTTCATTTACATTCACACTTTTTAAAAAATGTTAACTAATGATGTTAAATGGTTTGCCAAAGGTCCTGGCAGGTCACTTGTAGAAGTGTCATTTCTCCCTAATTAGGGCTCTTGTAGTTGCCTGGGGCCTCCCAGTGCAACCAGTGACAAGCAAGAGCTGACAGCTTCAATTGGTGCCAATAGGAAGGTTGGACCGGTCATGTTTTCCAACTCAGCCAGGTGTTTGCTGAATGGGGGAGGGGGGCTTGGCGAGATCTAAGCTCTTCTATGATCCTTTTTCTTTCACTAAGCCCCCCCAGTCCTTCCCCTTTGCCTGTCTTGTCTTGTGTCAAGGTCAAGAATGGGCTTTGCTAAATCAGCAATTTGGGTTATCTCTGGGCGGTCATTAGCAGGCCCAGCTCAGAGGCTTCAAGTGGTCTCAGACCCCAGATGCTAGATTTTTTTTTTCCTCTCCCTAAAAATCAGAGAGTAGGAAAAGAAAAGGAATGATTTAGATAGTAAACAATAGAGGGAATAAAACAAAACAAAACAAAATTAAAAAAAAACCTCCCAGAAAGTTTGCAGTAGCCAACAAAACATTAAATTTCTGAAGACACTGCTAGTAACAACTGCTCAAACAATAAACAGCTAAAGCATTCTGCCATGACATTAAATATTTGAAAGAAGAGACAGTGAAAAAAGTACTATGAATCCAATAGGTTATGTAGTACTTGTCACATAATAGGTGCTCAGTAAATAATGTATTGCTTGATTTGACTTTGTGAGGAAAAAACCATTATCTGGGAGAGAAAGGGAGGTTGGTAAAGGTGCTGCTATTTTTCATGTTTGCTTTAACTTTTCTTCAATCATGCTTTGAATGTCTCAGTTGACATATAAAGTTGGTGTCTCACATTATGGGCTGATATGACTATCTGGTTTTCTGGTGTTTTTTTTTTTTTTTGTGTGTGTGTGTGTGTGTGTGTGTGTGTGACAATTTAAAACAAGCAAAATGCTGCTGGTGCTCAGCACCCCCAGGAGGCAGTGACTGCAATACAAGAACGTGGTTCTGCAGCAGCGATAGAACACGCTTGAACATCAGTGTCTAGAACTTGGATTGGATGCACTGGTGGCGCCTGTGGGATGCCCAGGCTCCTGCTTTGGGCCTGAACTGAACACACTGGCATTTGAGCACACACCAACCCACATGCACACGCAATGTGTTAATAGGTTTATGAAACAGGCCATGGCAGGATGAATACATGGGCACCTGGGGGGCATTGCTGGGTTAACCTAAAGGAGAAGTGAACTAGACAGAGAAAGCAGTGTTTGTTTTATGAAAATCTGAAATCAGATCCAAAGACACCTCTGAGAAGGAAGGCAGTGTCTAAAGGGAAGGTATTTGAAACTTGGAATTTTAGCTTGCTTGCTTGCTTGCTTGCTTGCTTTCTTTCTTTCTTTCTTTCTTTCTTTCTTTCTTTCTTTCTTTCTTTCTTTCTTTCTTTTTTTTTGTCTAAAGATACTTTCCCACCTACTGCTTCTGTTTTCTCTGAGATGGGGCAGTGAAAATTGGGAGCAGGAATTGCTCATGCCTGCTGATTTTATCAAAGGAGTGTTAGAAAGATGAAATGAGGGGCATATCTAAGGCGCAGCTCGGGCAGTTGCTGGCACAAGTCAGGGTCCCTGACAGCAGCGAGCTCTCTCCCTGCCCTCCTGAGTCATTCCTGGTTGGAAGCCATACTTGGTTCTATGATGTCAACTTGTTTCCTCGGTCTGCTAGCAGTTTAGCTACAGAATGAGGACAGAGAGCAGAGGTTGATTCGGCTCTGCAGCTCCAGAGCCTGGTATTCTGGGTCTTCGAGACCTACTGAACAAAGAGCATTAATAAAATTGGCTAGTAGGCTGACGAGTGAACAAATTGATCTGGACATAGGCCAACAGTGGTGGTGACTGTCTCAAACTTCACCCCCCAAGAACCTCCTTGGTCACTAACTTACCTTCCATAAAAGGACAGATTCCAAAAAAGGGAAAGATTTTCTCCCCTTTAACGCAATATTAACCCTTCAAACACGTGCTGAATTTTTGCTATAATGTATTTCTTTATGGCCTTTTTATACTATAATAGATGTTCGCTTTTCTCTTTTTGGGTGACCCTCCTTGTCTCTCTTGCTGCTCCTGTGGGCTGTTGTTTACTCAGTGCTTTTGTCCTGGGTGATAATTTGCTCCCAGGAGCGGTGCTAACCCCTCCGCCTTGGCTCCACCCCACCCCCACCTCCCTGCATCCTGACCTGCGAAGCTGCCGTTGCTCTCTGCGTGCTTGAGGGTGGATGATTGCTGTGTGGCTATCACAAGTGCTAGAAAGTGGCCACTTAAGATTCTCCTTGTGGCTTAGAAGATGAGTATTTAAAAATCATTCTAGAAAGGATTAGTGATAAAGAAAACCTTCTGGAGCATGTAAATCAGTGTGGAAAAATAAGCCAATTAGTTAGGAAAACTAAAACAAACAAAGGGCTTTTGAAGACCTGTGGGCAGAGGAAGGATCTTGTGAATAACCGTGGTCCTTTATTTGGGGCAGTGGCATTTGTGATGACTGACCACCACAGAGGTGACCCCAGAAAGATAAAATTGTTTCAGTTAATTTTACCTACATTTCTGAGAGGCAAATCTGATTTTGTTGTTTGATTGTTGAAGGCTTTTTGGTGCCTTTTCTGCCTCTGGCTCTGGCTTCTCTTGAACCCTGAGCCCTTGCTCAGGTTATATGGATCTACTGCCAGTTCCCTGAACATGCTGGAAAATACTGTGACTTGGGGCTTTTGAACAAATTCTCTTTTTTTTTTTTTTTTTTTTTTGGCGGAACCAGGGATTGAACTCAGGCCCTTGAGCTTGCCAGGGAAGTGCTTATTCCACTGAGCCATCTCCCCAGCCCCTGAATTTTCTTTTAATTAATTAATGAGCGATGTGGTCTTGCTATGCTACTCAGGTTGATCTTAAATTCGTGGGTTCAAGCAGTTCTCCTGCCTCAGCCTCCTGCGTAGCTGTTGCTACAGTTGTGCAACGCCATACAGCTTGAAACTCTTTGCCACTGTTGGAACGTATTCCCTTCCTCGCATTTGTTCTGACAAACTCCTGTTCCTAAGAGAGCCAACTCTACACCACCACCTCTACAGAGCGGCTTCTGCGACATTCCAAGGTAGATGGACCTTGCTGTCCCTTGTGTCACCGAAGAGCCTTATGTTCTCGATCACAATAACAACAATAGTATTTCTCATAATGACAGCTTCCTTTTATTGAATGTTTTCTGGGTGCCAGGGAGTGTAAGGGCTTTCACTTGTTGTATAATTTGAAAACACCACCCTGTGAAGGAGGCATTCTCATACATATTTAATTCAGTGCTAAAGATCCTGCAGTTTACTTGTAAATTTGCTGACCCAGCTTCCAAGTGGTGGAGCTGGACCTGAACCCAGCTGCATGGCTCAAGTGTGTTACTGACCAATCCTCCACGTAGAGCTGCTAAACCATTGTAAAACCAGTTTTGAGCGGGTCTCCCTTCTGCACAGTGCACTCCTGGAGGCTGGCGGTGCTTGTCCAGCTGTGCCCCGTGGCCTAACGAAGAGCCATGGTGTGGCAGAGACTTTTTTTTCGTAGTACTGGGGATCGAACTTGGAACCTTGCACTTGCCAGGCAGGTACTTAAGGCACTGAGCTATCTCCTGAGCCCATGGCAGAGACTTTTAATGTTAGTTGAATTGAATAAAAGTAAGTTGAATTGTAAATACGTATATGCACAGTCTCTGCCTCTTACTTGTTTTGCTCTCTTTATATATGCATGATTATACTTTTTAATATGCCTTTTCATATACATATATGTGCACATATGGATGTTTATGTGCACATGTATATTATGCATATAATTACCTCCCTTGCTATATTTACATATGCATACATAATATATATATGTGATACATATCTGTGATATGTGTATATTTAGAAGTGTACTTATATTGCCATTTCACATTCATGTGGGTACCGATATTCTTATTTGACAAGTGTATTGGTGTGTGTATACACATACAGCAGCATATGTGCATAGGTTAGCATGTACTTCAGTATAAGTATATGTAAGTGACTACATCCGTGGATTTCTAGCTGTAACGCAAGCAAGCCAGGCTGTGCTGCAGTCTGGAGGAGCGTGCGTGTGTTCGCACAGCTGCCGGTGAGCGTGTGCTCCTCTGGCGTCTCATAGTGAGGGCTGCAGCGTGCATCTTCATCTGTGTGTGCCTCAAGACGGACCTCAAGCTCTCAGTTCTGCCCAGGCGCATCATGTTGTGTTTGGGTCAGAGTGCTCCAGAGGAGGAGGCCCAAGGAGCGTAACAGTCTTGTGTTTCCCTCGTGCCTTCTCTCAGATAGAGACAAGTCCTGCCTTGTTTGAGTACCCCTCCCCCTTGCTTGGCCCCTCCAGCCTGTGTCCATTAATGACTGTGAGCATGGACATTGTCCTCTGCTACGAGGACCGCACGC